AATCATTTTAAAAATCTTGTCCTTAGTTTGAGACTGGATATATACGAGTGTTTCCTCCATATCACTCAAACCAAGGCTCTGATACCAACTTGTAACACCCATAAAAAAATCAAGCCAATTTAAAAATAATTTAAATCATTCAAAACCAATAATTATTACAAATTTGTTTTCAAAATGGTTTAGTGTCTGAGTATCCCAGAAACAAATCATAAAACATAAGGAGGTGCACGATCACGCCTTCGCCTTCCTGCGATCATCAGAAGTACCTGAAACAAAATCAACAACTGTAAGCCCGAAGCTTAGTGAGTTCCCCCAAAATACCAACGCCATACAAACCATAAACTGTATCATATAAACAAACATCATGCATAATGAGCCATCAGCCTGACTTGACCACCTCGCAGGGCCATCAGTATATCTGGACTGCTCTACGAGCCTTCGTTAAGTCTGGACAGGTTCTCAGGGCCTTCAGCCTATCCGGACCGCTTGTCGGACCTTCGGCCCGACTATTATGCCCCAACCGGGACTGCAGTCTATCCGGTCCGCCCTGGGTATGTTGGCCTACAACACAAAGCAGGACCTGCCACAACCCAAACCCCCAATCCAACAATCATGTGCACATAAATATCATACGCTAGCTAGCTTGTACAGATAGTCATACAGATCTAACAGATCACTAACATAATATTATCCTATAACCAGGATACCGATCTAACAGATCACTAACATATCATACTCCTATAACCAGGATACCGATCTAACTAAAATCACTAACATATCATAATCCTATAACCAGGATACCGATCTAACAGATCACTAACATAGCAACTATCTTATAACCAGGATACCGATCTAACAGATCACTAACATAGTAACCATCCTATAAACAGGATACGAATCATAAACGGACGGCCTTGGTGCCTTAGACCCTGTTGATATAGTGAGAAGAACTCACCTCACGATGTCGAACTGTAGTGATAAGATCAAACTCTCGAATTACAGGCACGAACTCAACCACCTATAACCACCATAGGACCAAGTCCATCAAAATACCAAATTACCAAAATACCCTCAGAAGTCAACCCTTGGTCAAAGTCAAAGTCAACAATCAAGGTCAACAGTCCATGTTGACCCAACTCGTCGAGTGTAACTCACTGACTCGTCGAGTTCTTCCAGAACTCGAGAAATCGTGAAAATCCTAGTTGACTCGCCGAGTTTCCAGACAACTCGTCGAGTCCATGCGATGTCCAGATGTCGGGGAAAAACCCTAACTAACTCGTCGACCCATCTACCTGACTTGCCGAGTCCCTGCAGTACCAATACATGCAATCTTCACCTGACTCGTCGAGTTGGCCATGCAACTCGTCGAGTCCCTCTATTCCATTTCTCATTCAGACGTTTTTAAGCTACCCCAAAGTTCCAAATTGCAGATCTAGCCTCCTAGGGCATGGTTTCCACGTAAAGTTGCAAACTTTACGTACATGCAAGGTCCTAAATGTCAAAAGCAAGCGAAAGGAGAAGTTTAAGCTAAAGAGAATGGCCAAAGCTTGATAAATTCAGTAACTTTATGACTACAAGGACCTAGAGGAGTCCAGATCTGAAGTTACAACTTCAGATCATGCCCAATACCCGAAATGACCCACAAATGTGCTAAGGATGGCCTTAAACCCATGAACAAGGAAATCTAACACTAGAATGATCAAGGTAACAACTTGTTACCTTCAAATGGAAGCCAAAATGGAGTAGGTACTGAATCTAGAAGCTTCTCCTTGATCCAAGCTCTTGAGTCTTCAAGCTTCTTGCACAAATGCACCAAAACACTCTTTTAGCCTCACAAAACACTCAAGAACAAGGTTTAGACTGATTAGGGTTTCTTTTGGCCGTCAAAAGGTGATAATGGGCTGCGGGAAGGACTTAAGGTCCTTTAAATAGGGTGCAAACCCTAAACATTAGGGTTTCCATGCACAACTTCTACTCGTCGAGTCGGGGTCCTCCGTCTCGTCGAGTAGAAGTCATCAATCACGCAGGCTGACTAGGTTCGACACGACGAGTTGGGGCTTCCAACTCGTCGAGTTCCCTCAGTAAAATGAATATAAAGCTTTCGAAGATTATACCTGGGAGTCGGGATGTTACATGGTTTTTATGGTTATGGTTTCAGGTACTTTCGGTTCGAAAGGGAAGGGCTCGACATGATCGCAGCGCATCCACCCATGTTTCCACATTATGATGATTTTGGGATTTTACTCTAATAACGGTTTTTTTATAAAGTACTTTTGAATATTTATAAAAAAGGATCGACCTTTGTGATATGTTAAGCTCTATGAAGGTTTCTAGAAAGATAGAAGGAGAGGCTTAACAGATTAAGAGTTGAATCTGTTAAGTTGTGGAAACCCAGTTCTCACGACGTGGCATTCAGGTCGCCACAACATGATGTCTGGGGGAGGGGGGGGGGGGTAACCCGACTCTTTTATGATGGAGTGCCAATGATGTGACCTATGGGTGGTCACTATGTGGAGACCTGCTGAGGTTGACTTTGACTGTTGACCTTGACCGTTTACTTTTGACCATAGTTGACTTTTGGTCAAATTAGGATTTTAGGGTGTAGAATGGGAGAGTACTTCTTTATTGTTGATAAGCGTCTCGTAGTATCTGTCTATCCTGTGTGAGCTGTTGTATTTTAGCTGCTATCTACGAGGTGAGTCTTCCACTATATTTATCTTTGTGATAGTATATGCATGCTGACCAACCGGGTCTTATTTATTGATTGTTGTTAATGTGAAACTGAGTTGTTAATTATTTTTGTATTGCTGTGAGTCCATGGGACTGTTGATAGTCTCCATGGTTACGGATAACCCTTGAAATATGTTGTTAATCCACGAGACATGGTGTTATCCCACCGGGATTGCTAATAATCTTCAGGATTGCTGATAACCCATAGTTGTTTATTATGTTGTGTTGTATGTAATATTTTGGGAAACCCACTAAGCTTCGTCCTTACAGTTGTTGATTAAATGTGTTTCATGTACTTTTGATGATCGCGGGAAGGCAAATGCTTGACTATATACTTTGGCTTGCATATTTTTATAATTTTCGTATTTTGATACTCTGATTTTGGATGATCGTATTTGATACACCTGCAATTTTATTGACTTGATTTTTATAATACTTGAGGTTTTCTATATTAAAAATTAAAAATTGTGTGGTAAAGAAAATGGGATGTTACATATAAACTAACAACGTCATTTAGACGGTGTTGGCCAAAAGGATCAGGCGAGCAACAAAAACAAACAAACAAACTAGAGGACCAAGCATATAGGAGTTCCAATAGCTGCTCAGGATTAGCCTATTTCAGCAAAACACAAGCACCAATCATGTAATTTTTTCAAGATTGTTTTTGTTCTAATATCATAAATTCAAAACTAAACTTAACGTCGATTAATGTTATTCGTTGCTTAGGCCTTGTTATACATGACATGAGGAGATGTGATTTGATTGGGTGTGACAAAGTGGGCATTTTAGTCAAGATGATGATAATGTTCACGTTCATGTCTTGTGTTTATAGGATAAACTCATTAGCATTTCTATCAACTCATTAGCATTTTTATGGGATATTGACAAAAATGATCATTAGGTGAGATTTGACTAAAATAACCAAGTTTTATGTGTTTTTGAAAAATTATCTATATGTATGGAAGACATTTCATATGTATGGAAGACATTTCACACCAATTTAAGTAAAACTAAAATGGGGTCCTTCTAGACATTTGAGACCAATTTAACTCGAACTAAAAGTTTTTTTTTTTTTAATAAAAAGTATATTTCAGACTAACACTTTGGACATAAAAAAATGTTAGTCCAAAATTAAAGAATAAGTCTGAAATACGATAAATAATTTTATGATTTTGAGAAAATGCTTTGTTGTTAACGAAATCTAAAAGAAAAAAAACATGGCAAATGAAAAATAGATACGATATAATTGCTTAAAATTTGACATTTAATTGAAAAACAAGTACATTAGATGTTTAGAAATAGTTATTCGTGTTAGATGCTTAGAAATAGTTATTTTGGATACGAAAAAAAAAAATATTTTTGAAAGATATTTGACACAAGTAAAACAAAAAATACACATGATATATATTTTGATGGGGCAGAATTGCCAAATTTCTAACAAAAATATCATCAATGTGAAATGAAAAAGTTACTAAAAAACAAAAATCTATAAATCATTTTTATTAATGTTTTATTAATTGAGCCAAAAACTCTACAATTTTTGTTGTCCGTAGGCTCTAGCCGACAAATGAAAAACATAATGCAAAATTCTTAGGATGTGAAAAATCATCTTTGGGTCCAAACATCTTTTTCACTCAGATGTCACGTTAGTATTTCTTCTACTCTTTAGTTTCATTTTTTCCAATTCTCAACATAAAAAATCCGTTTCATTTTTTCCAACTGTTACATAAAATATCCATCTTTCCCAAGCTTCCCAACCGATATAATTTTAAAAACGTATATTAAAACATTTATCAAAACGATAATTAAAATTTTAATGTATATACCAAAACATATAAGAAAAAAAAAGGTGTTGGTTAAAAATATCATCAATCCAACGAAGTCTCTTCCTATTGAACCAGGGTGGATCGGCGGGCCTCCATTCCCACCATACCAACTATGATGGGGACAAAAATTTCATTGATACCGTGCACCATTAGATCATATTAGGTTTTGGCATATTTTATGTGAAATGGGGCCTACAAGGTTGACACAACACAAGGTACAGTTGTGCAGAAATTTTGGAGTTTGTAAAGAAAATAAAAGTCAGGGTTTAAGTTGAAACAACTGTTTTTAGGAGGGTTTAAAGTGAAAACCAACATAAAGTTGAGGGTTTTCCTCCTTTATAAACGATAAACATTCCCCTGTTGCTGTCAACATTATTATAGCTGATATCTGTGTCGCTTCAATTATGATTCAATCACCTGGTTCACAGTCGACTGAAGGATAATAATTTAATCTGAAAACTCTGATTTAAATTCTTCAAACCTTTTCGAATTGTATTATAAGTTGAGAAACTGACAGATCACCACAAAGAGAACCACAAATCGAACCAGAAGAAAAGCAAATCCTTTATAACGAAAACAATTACACCATTGATCAATTTACATCCGCGGTTCCTACTATGCCTTCGTCTCCATCGTTTCGGGGGAAAGCTACAGATGATAATGTCGCTGCTACTACAGAAGCAGAGGGGGCGTCATACAATTTCAACAACTCTGTTGTGGACCTTGAAAACGCTAACTATAACACAGTGTGGAGAGAATCGAGTTACAATTTCTCAAAAGACGGTGAGAAGTTCGATTTCTTAACGACGTCTGAGCCGCCGTCACCGCCGTTATCAAGAATAGCTGAGAGTCCGAATAACTATGGCACGCTGACGCCGAAAGAAGTTATGGTTTATTTTCACGATGAGGTGATTGAGCCGCAACCGATAAGGCACCGGCGCCGGTCCAATGGTAGTGGTCGTACGAGCGGCGGTGGAGAAGAAGTGACGCTTTGCTCCGGGAATGCTTCATTTAAGAGAAAATCGACCTTGATGAGGTCGAAAACCAAGTCCAGGTTAATGGATACACCGGAGAGAGATAAGAGGTCAGGTAGAATATCGAAATCTGGAATTTTGGGAAAAGGTGGTAGTGAATTCGATGAAGAAGATCCATTTTTGGACGATGATTTACCTGATGAGTATAAGCAGTTAAGGTATAGTAAATGGACTTTACTTCAGTTATTTTGTTTAATCCTGATTCTTGGTGCTTTAATTTGCACCTTCATAATTCCTTATTTTAAGCACAAGAAACTTTATGATCTTGTATTGTGGAAATGGGGGGTTATGATAATGGTTTTGATATGTGGAAGATTGGTTTCTGGTTGGGCGATTAGGCTTCTAGTAATCTCGATAGAACGAAACTTCCTACTACGAAAAAGGGTTTTATATTTTGTATATGGTTTGCGAAATGCTGTTCAAAATTGCCTTTGGTTTGGGTTAGTTTTAATTGCTTGGCAATGTATATTCCATGAAAAAGTCAACCATATGACACATGGAAAGGTTTTGCCTTATGTGACAAAGATTTGGATATGTCTTTTGGTGGGGACAATCGTTTGGTTATTGAAAACATTGTTAGTCAAAGTTCTTGCATCCTCTTTCCATGTGAGCACGTATTTTGACCGGATTCAAGAATCATTATTCAATCAATATGTAATTGAAACCCTTTCGGGTCTACCAGTGATTGAGATTCAACAAGAACAAGAGGAGGTGGATGAGATGATCTCGGAGGTTGAAAATTTTCAAAATGCTGGTACCAGTTTGCCACCCGATCTTAAGGCGAATATATTCAAGAAAACTGGGAGGTTTATTGGAACTCCAAGAAACAATAGTAAAAGTGGTAAATTTTACAAAGTTAACATGCCACTTGAAGATGGGATCACGATTGATCACTTGCATAGGCTAAATCAGAAGAATATATCGGCTTGGAATATGAAAAGATTGATGAGTATTGTTAGAACCGGAGTTTTGTCTACCTTAGATGATCAACTCGGAAAGTCATGTGATGAGGACGAGTCTGCGGTGCAGATAACAAACGAAATGCAAGCTAAGATTGCAGCCAAGAGAATATTCTGTAATGTTGCTATGGAAGGCTCAAAGTAAGTTTTTAATCTTATAACCAATTACGTATTCAAATTTGTTGGAAAACATGTCAACTTGATATGCATTAGACCGGGATCGGGATTGATGTGAACAGGACAAATTGCAAATAAAATTTTTCCAAAAAAAAAGGTTGAATGGGGACTCATTCTCGATCTATCGTTTGTGGAAAAAACGTGAATGCCCTCATACTCATCCTCGAAATAACCCTAGAAAGTTTGTCCAGTTCCATCCCATATAATAATTTATAAACGTGTGCCCTTGAAGATCATCGCTAATATTACGCTCCCCTCTGCGCTCCCTTGTTATTTTGAGCTCCCTCATTAGCCGTGGCTAAATGCAAGAAGAGAAACATACTTTCATTTAAATACGTATTTTAGCATCCTGTTTGCATTACTTTAAATTAAAGTAATGTACTTTCTATGTTTTTTATTAAAGCATTGTACTCTGAAAAATCTATTTAGTTACAACATTGTACTTATAATTATTACAATGACGTACTTCTAACATTTTTTTTTCTCATTAGAACATTATATTATGAAAAATCTATCCAATTATAGTGGTGGTGCATATAATGAAAGTAAATTGCATTTCATTACATTTAACCTATATGTAAAATTTAGTTTAGGTACATTTGACCAGTCATCTATAATTGAAAGCCAAAGTACACTCTCTATATTCAAAAGCCTTATCTTATTTCTGTATAGATCATCTTTTCACTATGTCTTGTTTTTTTCCCCTTATAGGCGCATTTATATAGAAGATTTAATGCGCTTTCTGAGAGAAGATGAAGCGTTGAAGGCAATACGGCTCTTTGATGGAGATAGTGAAACCAAAGGAATCAGCAAGGCACTTCTCAAAAATTGGGTGGTAAGACCTTTTTTCTTCTCCATCATCAACTTTTTTCCATAATCAACAATGATTCGGTTCACAGGAATTCCAAAAATATCGTTTTTCCAGGTTAATGTGTACCGAGAACGAAGAGCTCTTGCATTGTCTCTGAAGGATACAAAGACAGCCGTAAAGAAACTCCATCAAATGTTCAATTTGGCTGTTAGTATCATAATAATCGTGATTTGGCTTCTTATACTTAAAGTTGCAACCACACAATTCTTTATATTCCTAAGTTCACAACTGCTTTTGGTTGTGTTTGTGTTTGGTAACACATGCAAGACGACATTCGAAGCCATTATTTTCTTGTTCGTAATGCATCCGTTTGATGTCGGTGATCGTTGTGAAGTTGACGGTGTTCAGGTAAAGCATTAGAAATAACGACGTATGATCATTTATTCGAAGCCATTATTTTCTTGTTTGTAATAGCATTGTAATTTTAATTTTTTTTCCTTATAGAACGTCATATTTTGAAAGTCTATCTAATTATAGAAGTGAAATTTGTTTTCTATTATATTAACATTGATATACTTGCCTAATTCGGTTGATTTTTTGTTTTTGAAGTACAATACTATAATATAAAAAATAGAAGTAGAATGCTATAATAAAGAAAACAATAATATTTATGTCTTTGGTATATTTATTGTGGATTGCAGATGGTAGTTGAGGAGATGAATATATTGACTACGGTTTTCTTGAGGTTCGATAACCTGAAAATTATATATCCAAACAGTGTCTTGGCTACGAAACCGATCTCCAATTACTACCGTAGTCCGGATATGGGGGATGCTGTGGACTTCTGTGTACATGTATCAACCCCTGTCGAAAAGATTGCTCTCATGAAGGAGAGGATAACAAGGTATATCACTATAATAAATGACCATTTTTAGGCTTGTATTTACTAGCGATGCTCAATAACAAATTACTATTGATTTGATAAATGATCAATGAATGACTGGTTTGTTGCGACTGCAGCTACATTGAGAACAAGAGCGACCATTGGTACCCTGCACCTATGATAGTCTTGAGGGATGTAGACGACATGAATCGGCTAAAGATTTCGATATGGCTTTCACACCGGATAAACTTTCAAGACATGGGTGAACGATGGCTACGAAGAGCTCTTTTAGTTGAGGAAATGATTAAAGTCTTCAGAGATCTCGATATCGAGTACCGCATGCTGCCTATTGACATTAATGTCCGTAACATGCAGCCTGTGTCCTCAAATCGGCTTCCGTCTACATGGACTACTTTGGCAAACTGATTTGGCATTGCGGTTGACACTTTGATCTTGTGGTTAGATGGTACAATACTTTATGTGTATACAAAAATACTATAAAATTTCGTTGGAGGCCATTCCTTTGGTCCATTTGTTCGAAATTTGATTTTATTTTGTGTGTCTTATTTGTATTATATATTTTATGAAATGAAGATAAATAAAAGCTACAAACCTACAAATGTAGAATGATAATGGAATTGAGCTTGATGTTTCAACTCGTTTTGTTATGTGGGTCTTCTTCGTATTACGTGATAAAGAATGAAATTAATGGAGAAATAAAGGCCAGATCTTGGTGTTTTAAGTTGTTTTGTTTTGTGGGTCTTCTTGATGTTGCGTGATGAAAAAAAAATGGAATAAATGAGAAATAAAGGCCATGTGATGTTGTCATTTTCTTGTTTTATTTCGTTTTCAAGCGTGTTAATTAGGGCAGCATGCATTATTTGTCGATTGGTTCCATTCTGAAAACAAAAAAGTAAAGGAAAACAGGAAAAAACGTAATCGAGAAATAGAAAACAAGGAGAAAATTAAAGAAAAACGAATAAAAATACAAAAACAATGGAAAAGCCGGAACGTTCTAGCAAACCAATGTCTTTTTTAAAAATAAAAATACAAGAAAAAGACCGGACCGTACAAAAAAGTTGAAAAAAATAAACAATAAAAACCAAAACTAAAAACAAATAATTGTTGTAACTCATAATATATCATTTATCAATGTTATTTCCATTTAAGTGTTTCATAAATAGAAACTTTGTATGTAACTTTTATAATCTTTGGTTTATTTAGCTTTTGCCTTATATATATAGCATGTTCTTATGTGTTTATAAATATTTACAGAAAACATATATTATCAATGAGAATGAGAATGTTAAAATGAATCATGGAGTTGAGTTAATTTGTCATACAATGCGCTATCAACATTTTGCTCAAAGATCGAGGCATCATGGTCCACTTTTGTCGCTCGAGGAATAGAAATAAAAAAATAAAAAAAAAAAGTTCGAGATCATTCTTCTCTCTAATTTACAAGTAAGCTTTTCTTGATATTCATAGATTACATCTTATTTTTTATCATCTTGTAGTTGTGTGTTTATATAAAAACAAAGGGAAATCAATGTTGAAACCAAATGCATATTTATGTAGATTAAGAAAAGATTGAGTTCATTTTCATTATTGTTTTGTTTGGTAAATCCTTTCAATGAATTAAGGAAAAACATTCATTCATTAAATTTTTGAATGAGTTTATGAGAATTTATCTTGATCCATTTACAAACTCACTTTAAAAGAAAAGTAACACTAATAATTATATTTTATTGACAAACACTTTCAATTTTGTATGAGACAATAATTATTTATTTATGTCTAAATGTGTTTTTAAATTTCTTAACATCAGCATGAAAAAAATAATAAAGTTTTTAACTCAAACATGAAATTTTTTAAAATGTTTCACCATTTACAAAATAGATATATTCACAATTATTTTTGGAAAAATTATGAATCATAGCCAAATAGGCTCACATATTTTAAATACGATGTCTAGGAAAATTATAGGATGTTATTTATATCCTAATAAGGTCGGTTTTTATATGCGTTTACTATCCTCATCATTATTTTTACTGATCGTATTTAAATAGAGCTACCGCAAAGGGTTGAGTAAATAATTATTTCCCCAAATGTATTTATTTATTGATATTGCACCGGTGTCTCAAAATCGACATGTGGTTAACATGTGGTTTGATTACGAGGAACCTATTCACGGGTGAGCTTCTCGAACATATCGTTTCGGAAACAAAGTTCACTCTAGCAACTCTAGTGTTTCTCGAACCCGCCGTTTCAAAACTCTAGTGTTTCTCTATTACTATGGTCAATAATTGACTGACGTTGATTTATTGGAGAAGCTTACACCACCTTTCCTAGTTCTGACAACTTGCTTCAAAAGCAAAAAACATCAGTCTAAGTTCACAACGTTCCCTAAGCTCATTACCCAATTGCTATTTGATGAAAAAATAGCATCATTTTAATGAGAAATAAAAATTATCTTCTAGTTAGGACAAAGACAATTCCAATGCATGATGCTAATAATGTTTGTGGGCCTCAAACTTGAAACGAGAACTGAGACAAGCTCCAGTCGTCCCGAAAGACAAGGAATCATGGTGAGACTAAAGCTTGCAAAGTCAAGCGAGGTTCAGACTCTAATCCGAGCCAACGCCATGTGGCTCCTAGGGAATCTCGTACTAGGAACAACAACAATAGGACAATTCGTCCCAGAGTAAGAGATTATGCTAATGAGAAAACTTTATGTTACAAATGTGATGGCTATGGTCATATGTAATAGACTTGTAAGGCTACTCTCGAAGAAGTTCAAAACTATCATTATGGAAGAAAATTTAAAGCAAACTCTACCGAAACAAACAAATTCCTTGATAACCCTGATTTTGTGGGTAAAATGGAATAATAGACCTATTGTCCGACTCCTAGAATATATTATTTTTTCTTTAGGATTATGCTTTCCCATTTGAATATTATCTATCTTTTGGATTTTGGTTTGTTGTACCTCGATCATGTTTCTTGAAATAATTTAAAGTTTGTTCCTAGAACACACACAGCTTTATCTTATACACCGGGTCAACCCATTTATAATCAATTACAACCCGCGTGACCTTTCATGTTTTCAGAAATTGCTCCGCAGTCCAAAACATTCTCCAACTTTGCATATAACACCCTTCCTGCATATATCTAACAATACAAGAGCCACAACTAAAATAAATAATAAATACAAATTAAGGAAATTAACGATAAAAGGATATATGAATTATAAGTTTGAAGACCAGTTAACTCAACACCCCTACTCAAACTTAAAATTCAATTAAAACATCAACAAGTCCCTTGAAAAGGATCAACAAGACCCAACTTTTTACAAACTAATTCATGTTGTGAAACACTTAATCCTTTAGTAAAAATATCAGCCACATTGTTTTCAGAACTAATTTTAAAAACCTCAACAATTCCTTTTGAAACACGATCTCTAATAAAATGAAAATCAACATCAAAATGTTTTGTTTTCTCATGAAAAATTGGATTAAGAACAAGCTTTATAGCTTAGTCATTATCACAAAATATAGGAACATGAGTTTTGTTCTTAATTCCAAGATCAAAAAGAACTTTTAAAATCCACATTATCTCACAAGACACAATACCAAGAGCTCGATATTCAGACTTAGTAGATGAGCGAGAAACAGTTTCATGTTTCTTACTTTTCCATGAGACAAGATTATTACGAAAGAACACTGCATAACCTGTTACAGACTTCCTTGAAACAAGGCATTTTGCCCGATCTGCATCAACAAAACTCTTAAGACACAAGACATCTGATTTCACAATTGAAAACCCCCTTCCAAGATTATTCTTTAAATACCTTAGAAGTCTTATAGCAATATTAAAAAGAGATTTTCTAGGACTATGCATGAATTGACTTAAAACATGCACAGAATAAGATATATCAGGCCTGGTAATGGTTAAGTAGATAAGCTTACCAACCAATTTTTGAAACAAAACAACATTAGGAATTAAACTATCATTTTTATCCAAGCCATCTGCCCTTATAACAACATTATTATCCAAGGGCATTTTAACAGGTTTACAACCTAACATACCAAATTCATGTAACAATTCAATACAATATTTCCTTTGGCACAAACAAATACCATTATAAATATCTACAACTTCAATGCCCAAAAAAACTTTAACTTGCCCAAGTTTTAAATTATAAACTTAGATTTTAAAAAACTCTTTACTTTATTAATCTCTTCAACACTACTACCAGTAAGTATAATATCATCAACATACACTAAAAGAGCAAGAAAACAGTTGTTACCAGTCTTAACAAAAAGTGAGAAATCATTTACACTTTGTACAAAACCAAATTCAAACAAAGCACCACATAATTTTTCATTCCACTTTCTAGGAGCATGTTTAAGTCCATATAAAGATTTCAACAATTTACAAACTTGATTACTATTTTTATCATGATACCCTGGAGGCAAAGACATATAAACATCCTCATCCAGTTCACCATACAAAAAAGCATTATTTATATCAAGCTGAAATAACTTCCATCCATAATTAACAGCAACAGTAATAACAATCCTAATAGTAACCATTTTAGCTACAGGAGAGAAAGTTTCCTCATAATCTAAGCCTTCTCTCTGATTATAACCTTTAGCAACCAACCTAGCCTTATATCTTTCAACCTCACCATTTGATTTATATTTAATTTTATAAACCCATTTGCAACCAATAGGTTTCCTATCAGAAGGCAAGTCACAGATAACCCAAGTTTGATTTCTATACAAAGCTTCCATTTCATCATTTATAGCTTTAATCCAATTTGGATCTAAGGAAGCTTCATAATATGAATGGGGTTCAACAGTCTTATTAAGATTAACTACAAAACACCTACTTTCAGAATTCAAAAAAGAGTAATTAACAGATTTCTCAATCCCATATTTATATTTTCCTTCAACAACAAAATCACTAAACTTTTTTGGAAATCTAGATTCTCTATGAGATCTCCTCAAAGATTGACTATCAGAAGAAGATGAACTAATATTTTCCTCATAATTGTCTAGAGGTTCAAATGTAACTAGATCAGGTTGCAAACTATGCATTTCACAACCTGGAGAACCTTCCTGACCAGGAAGAGTTGCAGTTCTATTTGAACTACCTTCAAGTCTAGAATCAGTTGCACTCACAGGTTGATCAATACAAACATCACCCTCCTGACAGGTATCATCTAAACTCCTAGTATCTTGACTATCATCAAGACTATCAGATAACAATATCTCATCATTGGAAAAAGGATCCCATGTACCATGATCATTCAAAGAAGAAAACTCAAGAGAATCAAGGAAATCATCAGATTTAGAAGCCATTTTAAAAGGAAAGACTGACTCATAGAACTTCACATCCCTGGAGAAAAAAGAAACTCCACTATCAAGACAAAACAATTTATACCATTTTTTAACATTTGAATAACCAATTAAAACACACTTTTCAGATCTTTCAGAAAATTTATCTTTAATATCAAGTTTAGTTGAAAAACACAAACATCCAAAAACTCTGATTTTATCAAACACAGGCAAACAATTATAAACAAGCTCGAAAGGAGTTTTACCATTTAAAACAGAAGAAGGATTTCTATTATTAAA